CATAGGATATATCATGGATGCAATCTTTATCAATGTTCCTACAATAGGATGGCGTCTCATGTTAGGTACTACATTGGTTCCAGGTGCCATTGAAACGGTTGGTATGTTTTTCCAACCTGAAAGTCCTCGATGGTTGATTAAGAAAGGCAAACATGAACATGCAATGGAAGTTCTTAAACGTTTAAGAATTTCTAGAGAACATGCCTTGAGAGATTATGTGATCATTAGGAAAGCCTGTGAAGAGGAGTCTAGAATGACTGCTGGTAAGAACATGTATTTTGAACTGGTAAGAGTGCCATCTCTTCGACGAGCTTTGTTTGTGGGAGTTTTACTTATGTTGTTTCAACAATACTGTGGAATGAATGTGTTTATGTATTACGTGGACTATATGTTCAAGACCATGATACATGTATCGAGTAAGAAAGCTGTTCTTGCTAGTATGGTTGCTGGTTTTGCCAATGCAGTATTCACCATTCCTGTGTATTGGACGATTGACAAGTATGGAAGAAGAAGTCTTCAATTATGGACGTTTCCAGTGATGTGTGCCATGCAAGTTCTTGCTCTTTTTTCTTATTATGGCACAAAATGGGTCAATTTTGCGCTGTTTATTATTGCCATATTCTTCTTCATTGCTGCCTATTCTCCAGCCAATGGACCCGTACCTTGGGTCTATAATGCTGAAATTTTTCCGTTGTACATTCGATCAGAAGGCATGGCTATTACTACATTTACCAACTACATGTTCAATTTCGTAGTATCCTTTTCATGGCCGGATATGTTGAAAAGTATGAAAGCTCAAGGTGGTTATGGATTTTATGCAGCAGCTATTGCTTGGGGATGGGTAATGTTGTTCTTCTTTATGCCAGAAACCAAAGGTTATACTTTGGAACAAATGAGACTTGTGTTTGAACACTCACTAGGAGAAATTGCCAAGTATCATTGGCACTGTGGTGTGAATAATGTGAAGAGAGTATTAGGCATGAAGAATGTGAACGCTTCTATCCCTTCTCCCTATGATAAAGCAGCCAACTTGAAAGAACATGGAATTGAGGAAGAAGAAATGTAGACAGTCCTATTATTTATGTCAGTTGGTTAAAATAAAGATGGAAATGAGTGAATTTCATCTCTTTCTTTCTCATAGTTTCGACAAGAATGATCAATCATCGGATTTTTGCCACGTCATCCAATTTTCTTTATGGCAGAAGAAAGAAGATGGCGCGGAGGAAAAGTGAGTGGTCCGCGAGTGGTTAGAGAAATGAGTGTAAACGATTCACAACGTTTTCCTTTCAAAGAACTTTCCACAGAAGCCGAAGAAGTACGAGTACAAAACGCTACGAGACGTAAACACCCTCACGGACTTCGACGCGAGGAAATATTACGACAACACCCAGAAATTGCCAAGTTATATGGACTCTATCCCGTTTCCGGGCTTTACATCGTTTTGCTTGTAGCCCTTCAGTGGTTACTTGCTATATTCTTTACTCAATATTTTCCTTGGTAAATATATATTTATTGCTACTTACGAACGTTATTATGCACTTGCTAACAAGAGTTCAAGGTACTTGTGGATACTTGCCACTTATGCTGTTGGTGCAGTTATCGACCACGCTTTATGGGTACTTATTCACGACGCTACACACAACCTGATATTCAATTCAGTTGCTGCTAACCGTATCATGCTTTGTATTGCGAATATTGCGCACGTCGTTCCATCTGGAATGATGTTTCGATATTATCATATATTACATCACATAGAACTTAACAAAATAGCCAAGGATCCCGATGTTCCTGCAAAGTGGGAAGCCAGATTTGTTGGAAATAAGCCTTTAAGAAAGGCGTTTTGGTTATTTTTCTTCTTTTTATTTCAAACCGTTCGCTTATTTGGCTATTCACATCGGGTAAGTGGGGATAGTTTAAAAAGAAAGAATGATTACTCACGTTGAAATAGACCCCCAGTTATCAGGAAATGAAGTGGATAGCTGCAAATTGGTTGATAAATATATCTTTTCATGTGACGAGCCTTGGTTTGGTGGGAATTTCTCCGTTAATTTTTATGTTGTTATCGTCCATATTTGCCATCGGATTGCATCCTTTAGGTGCTCGTTGGATACAGGTAAGTCTTTGTCTATTCATATTTCTCGATTCTCATAGAGATGGGTGAAAGGAGCACTACCCAACGCATCCTTTTCAGTCGACGTATTCTTATTATGGTATAGCCAACCGTGTGGCTTTTAACATTGGTTTCCACAACGAACATCACGTAAGTATTGAAACCCAATGAGGGAAATAGGCATCTGAGAGTTATTTCTTTTGACAGGACTTTCCATCTATTCCTTGGAATCTACTTCCAAAACTTCGTCAGTTGGCACCTGAATATTACGATACTCTTTTTGCATACCGCTCTTATCGTAAATTGTTGCGTGACTTTATTATGGAGCCTAGATGGAGTTTGAGTGTTCGGTGGGAGGAAGAACTGAAGCGGAATCCTCATGATCCATCGAAAACCGCATGATGTTTTTCGTTTTCTTTTTGTATGACTCTTGTTGAACTAAGTGATAACGCAATATTCTATCGCCATCACTGTGATTGTTGAACAAGATGAATATATATTTTTTTTGTATAAAGTATGTTTCTTTATGTCGTCGTATTGTGTAGTGAGATGGGTTGAGTGAATGGGATTTTCCATCATTCCTATTCCGTTATGAAAAGGCAAACAAAGAGAAAAACAACAGAATGGTGTGACTCACCAACACAACAACAGCCACCATCATCACCGGAGAAGAAACAACAACGAACAAGTATACAAGACGCTATTCTTCCCTTCAACTCTGATATACCTCCACCACCACCTTCATCTCCTCCTCCTCCTCCTCCTCCTCCTTCTTCTCCACCACCACCACCACCACCACCACCACCAACTTCAGAAGAAGAAACAGCTTTATTGGAAGCCATGGGTTTACCT